CATCTAGGGATAGGACCCCTAGATGAAGAGAAAACTTCCCCATTCACCTTGGCATGAGAACTGTTTTTGTCGTTTTGCAGATCTTGTTGGGCTACCATACTGTGGTGAGTCCATGGGTGCAGCTTCCCTCTCGTGTCTAGAACACATTGCCTAGCAGCATGTGTCTTATTCCTCTGACTCCTACACTCTTTTGGTCCCCTCTACTATGGTGTTCCCTGAGCCTTAGGAATAGAGGCTCCATTGTAGATGCACCAGTTAGGGCTGGGAACCCCACAGCCACTTATCTGCATTTTGACCAGTTATGGAGTTTTGTAGTAGTCGCCATCTGATGCTTTGATGAGTGATGAGAGCTATGCTTGTCTGTAAATGTCTGTTCCTCTGACTCCTACAATCTTTTGGTCCCCTCTACCATGGTGTTCCCTGAGCCTTAGGAATAGAGGTTCCATTGTAGATGCACCAATTAGGGCTGGGAACCCCACAGCCACTTATCTGCATTTTGACCAGTTATGGAGTTTTGTAGTAGTCGCCATCTGATGCTTTGATGAGTGATGAGAGCTATGCTTGTCTGTAAATGTCTGAGGATACATATTTAGATTATAGTAAAAAATTATAGTCTAGGAAAGTGGCAGTAGTAGGTTCATCTCTAGGGTCTATGACCTCTCTAACGATGTGTACTTGGCTGTGTTTACAGTACCATGCATGGATTTCCTCCTATTGAGCATGCCTTCAAGCCAATTAGAAGCTCTTGATTACACCAAAGATAAAAGTGCCACGATTGCACCAACAGAGCGAGGTACTTTACTGAGTCACTTATTGTTATGGTTCATAGGCTTTTGAGCTGGGCAGGACCACTGAATGTTTTTCTCCCTTGTCAGTCTGCATAGTACTTTCTGATCTTATGAGAGCTACTCTTTGGGGAGGAATCTTCCAGGTCAGGTCCCCCTCAATTGCTTCAAGTTCAGTGTATGAAGTATGTCATGTCTTCAGTAGTAGGGTCTTACCTTCAGGTTCTGGGAACAACCAAGGTCTGTGGCAATAGCCTATATTATTTTAGGAGTCTCTTGGACTACCCTGACCAACAACTTAAGAAGACATTTCCCTTGCCTGGCACTGTGATTTTTTTTTTTGTCAGATAGCCTTCTGCTATACACATGAACCCACATTGTTTTTGTTTTTTTCTGACAGGGTCTTGCTAAGGAACTAGCCTAGATCTGATGATCCTTCTGCCTCAGCCTCCCTGTCCTGGGATTGTGGGCATGTGCCATCGTGTCCAGCTTGTTTCCTACATTTATTGTCAAAACACTGTCTTGGTAAATATCTATTTAATTGAGTATCAAGAAGCATGTAACATGGGGATCCTAAAAATAAAATACCTTGGTTAAACAGGGCAAAGCATGGTTTGAGCTTGGGAGGCTCATGGCTTGTTGAGGCAGGTCTATTAGATCAATAAGTGCCATGCCTGACTTACATCAACTAGTCCTCAGATGAGACTGCATGCAACTTAACACTGTAGAGTGCTGTTTAGTCCTGCACCTGATGTTAAGTCTTACAGTGTGGCTACCTGAGCCTCAGAACTAAGGGAAGAAAATGGGTAAATGTTGATGTCCTGTGCCTGAGTGGGAAGAAGGGGCACGATTTTCTACAACAGATCTTGTGTACTGTTGGTTGTCGAGAAGCATTGCCTCCTCCCTCAGGCTCTCCCTGTGCTTTGTATGCATCTTAGGAAAGTTGCTCAGTATATTTAAATTTTCTAAGAATTTATTCTTTGGTGATTTCATATTCAAACACAATGTATTTAAACCATATTCATCCCTGCCCAGCTCTCTTCCAACTCCAGCATCCCTCTTCCATATTCTCCCTTGAAATTCAGGTCTTCTT